GAGTTTTCAAACACCATATACTTTCTTTCTTTTTGCTTGTTTTTTAAAAAAGTCAACATTCAAAATCAACAAAAAAAATCATAATTGACGCATTTACTTTCATAATAAATGTCATTGATCTTATTGTGCACCTTATTCTAAAGAATTTAGTGACAAAATCAAATACTAAATCAAATTTAAATACTAAATCAACTTTATTTGTCTCTGAAAACAAATCTAATTTATATTTATTTTATTTATATTTTTTTGATGTAAATATATTTATATACACTAGCGGTCAAAAGTCTGGGATCAGTAAGACTTGTAATGTTTTTAAAGAAGTGTCTTCTGCTCATCAAGGCTGCATTTATTTGATCAAAAATACAGAAAAAACAGTAATCTTGTAAAATGTTATTACAATATAAAATAATAGTTTCTATTTTAATATCCTTTAAAATATAATTTATTTCTGTGATGCAAAGCTGAATTTCCATCATCATTACTCCAGCGTAAAGTGTCACATGATCTTCAGAAATCAGTATAATATGCTGATTTATTATTAGAATTATCAACAGTTGTGCTGCCAAATATAATTTTTTTGGGAAACTGATACTTTTTCAGGATTCTTTGATGAATAAAAAGTTAAACAAAACAGCATTTATTCAAAATCTAAATCTTTTCTAACAATATAAATCTTTGCTATCACTTCTTAACAATTTAACACATCCTCGCCGAATAAAAGTATTAATTCCTTTCAAAAAAAGAAAGAATATAAATGTACCGACCACAAACTTTTGAACGGTAGTGTATATTGTTAGAAAAGATTTCTATTTTAAATAAATGCTCTTCTTTTTTACTTTTATTCATCAAATAATCCTGAAAAAAGTATCACAGCTTCCAAAAACAATACAGTTTCCAGCTCTGATAATAAATCATAATATTATACTGATTTCTGAAGATCATGTGACGCTGAAGACTGGAGTAATGATGCTGAAAATACAGCTGCGCATCACAGAAATACATTACACTTTAACAGAGATTCACATAGAAAAATGTTATTTTACATCATAATATTTCACAATATTATGTTTTTTCTTGTATTTTTTATCAAATAAATGCAGCCTTGATGAGCAGAAGAAACTCCAGTAAAAACATTACAAATAGTTCTGATCCCAAACTTTTGACCGGTTGTGTATGTGTATATGTATATATATATACACACACTTTTTATTTATTTATTAAATAATTACATATAATAATATTATAATTTAAGTAATTTACATTTATTACATGTCTTTGTATTTATTTAAACTGTGAATTCATCTGAAATATATTGTTTTTATAAATATATATAGTTTTTAATTTTACATTAAAAATATAGTTTTTTTTAATTTGCCTGTAATCAGCTGTTTAACGTGTTTGTGTAGAGTAATCACTCTATGGCGATCCTGAACGTCGGCGCTCCGGCCGCGGGGATGAACTCCGCTGTGAGATCCGCGGTTCGAGTGGGACTCGCTCACGGTCACCGGGTTTACACTGTCCACGACGGCTTTGAGGGTCTGGCCAAAGACGCGGTGAGGACCGCTGACATGTGAGAGTGTGTGTGTGTGTGTGTGTGTGAGAGTGTGTGTGTGTGAGAGTGTGTGTGTGTGAGAGTGTGTGTGTG